CTTATTAATTTCACACAATCTTAACAAAATATATCTTCATCCATGGAAATTTACATATCATTACTATTATCAAATATTAAATAATTGCTTTATCAAATCATAAACTACATTTTGAGATTATAAACATATAGAATTTCTATTAACATTAAAACTAAATAACAAGTGGATATATCACATTTAAATGATTTTAACGACTTATTACCAATTTTTAAATAATAAATGGATTATGTTTTTATGATTTAATCTAATTGAAAACAAATAAAATGTCAAATTGGTATGATATAAATGATATAATAAATAAATATCTACAAACATTATCTCACATATACGTACAATTTTAAACTATCCTTGACAAATATGATATATAAGTTTTGGTTAACCGGTTGAAAAAAAAAATTGGTAGTTATATTTAACTCTCAAAGTCTCAAAATGTTGAACAAAATTCAACTTTGGGACGTATAAATCTCTACTTTTGGACGATTATATAAAACTTTACATATATTAAAATTATATTTAGTTACATGTAAATGTTGTTATTCATTAAAAAAATATAAACTTATAGGAATGGATATGAGACAGGAACATTTAATTCGAAAACAAACATTATCTGAATTATTTCTCATAAAAAAAAACAAAACGTGATTAGATATAATTGTTATGAGACACGGTCATAAAGTTAAATTCACTTTCAACTTTCAAATATAAAACTACGAGTACGATACGAGGAAATGTAATTTAAATTGTTAAATTTAATTTCCACTTTCCTGTTTATTTCAAATATTTAGAAATATTTAGACATGAAATGACGGGTACAAGAAGATAACGTATACTTCGGATAATAAAACTACAATAAATCCATGTATTAAAAAAATAGAGATACTTAAATCTTTAGAAAACAAAAAGGCTAAAACATGAATCGTTGAATTGAAGAAAGTAATGAGAAATAAAGATGAAACTGAAAGATCAAGACAATGGTGGGAGCATGTGAATTAGATTGATAATTAGATATTTATTAGTTTGATAAAATAAATCTTTTACCATGTTTTTTATAATAAACATTGCCAAATGATTATGTTTTAAAAAATACGATTATGGGACGGAGATTTTATGACAGATAGAAGACGGGGCGGGCTGGGACGGGACGGGTCAGGACGAGACGGAAAGGGACATGACGGGTTTTCCATTATAAACTACACATAAAACAATTCAAACTAAAGCTAAACTCAAATCCGATTTAACATGTCTAAGCAAACAGTTATAAATGTTTTGATTAGTTTAAAAAATAAACACGTAATATCACTTATCATTTTCATTTAAATAATTTTAAAATTGTATTATTTAATACAATATCTATATTTTACAACTGTATGTCTATATATAATTTGTCAAATAAACTCATATAACAAAATTTTACCAAAATAGCATCTACTTAAAAAATCATAATTTTGTAAAAATAACCATGCACGTACGTGCGGGTCCATCACTAGTAGACTTTATAACGAGGCTCGTCTAAGAAAAAAAAAAAATTGATAAAAATATAAAAGAATTATAGCATTGGGTAGCCTATCTACTTGTTCTTTCATATAAATTTATTAAAATCCACATAAAACCATCGGAAGATTTGAAGAAGCTATTAGAATTAGCACATGAATTCTTATCAAAAACGGGAAGATCAAAAAGAGAAAAACACAAAACTCTTATATAGGCATGGTCACAAGTCACAACTCAAAACCGTAGACTTGAAAAGTCACGTACATTTATCTAATATAGAAGCTTAATAAATAAAATAAAAAAGGAAAAACAAAAAGAAATACTAAAACATAGATAAACCCTTGTTTCATGTACGCGAAGTTACGATGCTGTCTTTAATTACATCGTTCTGTTAATTTCTAGGTTTCAGCTGCCGGCCATATGCTGTAACAACATCTGAATCTTGTCGACCATTGAGTTTATAAAATCTCTGTCGGTCATGTTACTGTTATACCATACAAGTGAAAGATATCAACAAGAAAGCTTATCAGGTTCTAATTGTATATTCTACGTACTCAGCAAAAAGAAAAGATAAAGTACCTTTGTTCTGGCAAGACCATGCCATTTATATGGGGAATAGACTTTAAAGCATCCTTCCATTTCTGAGTTTTCTCTGGTTCGTGTTTATGATTGCGATTCATGTCCCTAAAACGATCCCCAAATTTTCCGTTAAGTTCAAGTTTGTAGAAGATGGGAATCACTATGAGACGGCCTTGATCCTTGCGTTCCTTGATCTTGGCCAGCTCATCCAAGCACCAATTCGAACTTGTGTAATCTTTGGAGAAGATCACTAGTGCGATCTCAGACTCTTCTATTCTCTTCAATAGGTTAACCAAATCTGATCCCAAAAGCTCGTCTTCGTCTATGAAGACGTTTATACTCGCATTCACTAAGGCAGCGTGGAGAAAGCTTATAAAGTTTCTGCGCAATTCTATTCCCCGGAAGTTGATGAAAACTTGTGGCCCCCGTGGACTGGGTCTTACAACCGAGGACAATGCAAAAAGAGAACTCTATACTTTAGTTTTGTATTTTGTCAAATGCTTTGAAAGATATAGCTAATCCAATGCCGAAAAATATATAGGATTAATTGGGTTTTTAGTACATTTTTGAAACATAATTGTAGAAGTAGTACTATTCATTATTAGCAAACTAATACATTTTTACTATTTGTACACTATTTAGACACTATTAAAAACCCTCTTAAATCTAATAACTAAAAATATTCATCAAAATATATTTGTTTTCTATAAAATTTCAGTTACACAAAAATCTGTATTTTTTTCTCTATAATTTGATATGCATTTTTAAAAAAATAATTTCATATATTTTTCAAACAAATTTTGATACGTCCAGCTAACCTTATGTACAGTTGTGTGTCGATGTACGGAAAATCATCCGTACAGCGGTCTATATATACGTATAATTGTATGTGTACATATATATTTTGGTCTATATATGTATATTTGTTTATGTGTAAATATGTTTATATGTAGTTGTTTCTCTTTGTACAAATATTTGATATACAATAATATGTTACTGTACAATTGTCTGTCTGTACATATATCTGAAATAGTAAAATTGTACTATTTTGCTAATTGTGAATAGTAAATGTAATATTTTTATAATTATGTTTCAAAAACGTACTAGTTTGCCAACACACCCAAATATATATATGCTAATCCAACGTCACGATTTATATTATAACTAGCAGTTGACCCGCGCTTCGCGCGGGAGGTTTATAATTTCGTTTCGTTGATTTGTTATTCATATTGTGATATTTTATTATTTTTTAATTGATTTTCAAAAAATATTATAATTATTTTCTCTTTAATTATTATCTTTCAATACTAAAAATTGGATTAAAAGCATTTGATTCAATTTATAAAATATCATTTTTTTTCTTTTTGATCATGTTATAAACTAATATTTCACTTTCATTTTATTTTTCCGCTTTATAATTTTATATATACAATTACATAAATGTTGTTTTAGTCTACCATAAATTTAAATTTTACTTCCATTCTAAAACTCAGTAACATATTTAAAATATTAAATTGTGATCAATTTAAAATGAAAGTTGAATTATATTATTACCACTAATAAAAAATTAAAGTATTGTTTTTCTTATTTTAACATTTCATTTTTTACATAATTTATTTTTATTTATATAAACTTTCTATTAATTAAATAAGTAACATAAATATGCACTAAATGAATGTTTTAAATTTATTTTAATGTTTAAACAAAAATGTGGCTTAGGTGGATGTTTAGGTGGCATCATGGGAAGAGAGAAAAAGCTAACTTTATATATATAGATATGTAAATTATGCAGTAGTACTAGAGGTTCTATTTTATTTTTATAATAATAAATAAAATAAAACACTTACTTTGATGTGGAGATATTCGGCAGCATTTCCCTAACCTTCTTGACGATTATCCTTATGAAATCTTCATCGGTTTCATCACTTTGGTTTGGTATAAGAAAATAAAAAAACGAAAAAAATGTCACGAAGTTATAATTATACTTGTATCCGAACACACAAATTATCAGATTTATTATCATAAAAATTGGAAGAATAATAACCTCATTATGGGCACGGTCAAGCCAGGGTTTTGGCAAATAGAAACAATAGCTTCCTCCCATTTCTGGGGTCTTTCTGGTTGATGTCGATGAAGATATCTTCTCTCCTTGAAGTTGTAGCCGAATTCACCCAGTAGACGTTTAACCGAGGGGGGATCAATCTTGTAGAAGATGGGAATCACTGTAAGTTTTCCTTGGTTCATGCGTTCCATGATTTCGACCAGCTCGTCCAACCACATATATGACAACGGGGACTGAGGATAGAAGATAACCAACGCGATATTCGACTCACCTATCCTCTTCTCAGGCCCGTCTATAACGTTGATGTTTTCGTCTTTCAAGGCAGTCACAAGAAAGCAGATGAAGACGTTGCGTAGCTCTTTTCCCCAGAAATTGATGAACACGTGAGGTCCCGTTGGGATCAATGATACATCAGAAGATGCTCCTGCCATGGAAGAGCAAACAAAAGAAGTTTTTTTCTTGTTTGAGTTTGCTGTAGGAAATGAAGCTTATGTGTATGTTTGGTTAAATTGAAAGTACTTTATAGAGTTAAGACTGATGACATCGTCAGTTCGTCACTGATCGTCGCTATTATTATTTTTAGTATATTTAATATTCTAAAACCAATTTTTGTTTGGCATTTTCCTGGGAAATTTAGTGGACGAAAATGGATGTTGCAAAAGATAAGAGCATCTTTCTCCTCATTTGTTATGGATGTCTTAAAAAATTTCAGTAATTAATTTTATTTTAGGGAAATTGCATTCTATATACCCAGTTGACCATTTAATTAAGTATACGCCACTCTTCTTTTTATAATTAGCTATACTTTTTGAAGACAATTTTATGTTTGGAATATTTAGTTAACTGATAACTGAATCAGCACAATAAATTTAAATTTATAAATATATATAATATGTTATCGTGGTAATTCAATTCAATAAATAAATAATAATAATATAAAAACTTATCAGATAAATATACATTTAACACATTATATATGATGTGAAAAATAGATAAAACAAGAAAAAATGAAGTATGATGGGAAAATTGGAACAAAACAGTGATGTGGGTGAAGATATTTCCAAAGTGGTGTTTATTGGATGGAAAAGAGGTGACACTTTTAGCGATGGTTTTACTCGTGGTGGTGGTAACGATGATACCGACGGTAAATATTTTATATGTGTCAATAGTTACGAAAACAAAATCTGTATATCTTTAATAAAACATGGTTAAATATATTTTTGAGGTTTAGATTTTATAATTAAAACAAAATTATATATCGGTTTGGGTTTATAAATAGAGTTTAGGGTTTAGATATTACAATTAAATTGCATGCTAATATGTCGGTTTGGGTTTATAAATGAGTGGTTAGGGTTTAGATTTTACAATTAAAACAAAATTATATGTCGCTTTGGGTTTATAAATGAGTGGTTAGGATTTAGATTTTACAATTAAAACAAAAATATATGTCGGCTTAGGTTTATAAAGGAGTGGCTAGGGTTTATAATTCATTATTGTTTTGTATATCGTATAGTAAATGAGTTAACACGGTAAGTATAAATTTATCACATATCGCGATACAAAAAAAATTAACACGATATATTTATAAACTTATATGTATATATATATTGTTATCATGGTAATTCAATAGTTATTCATCTAACTTATAACATGATTTTACTAATGTATTTGATAAACAGTATTGTCGATATTTACATCATTATCACGCTAAATAATTTGTTAGTTGCAAAAGGATATTTTTGTCCACTTATACAAATTGATGAGAGAGAACTACAGTAAAACCTCAATAAATTAATAATGTTGGGACTACAGAATTTTATTAATTTATAGTGATATTAATTTATCTATAAATTAATATTTATTATTTTATAATGTAAATTAATAATTAATGATTTATAGAAGTATTTTTAATTGTAAAAAAATTTAAAAACATGAATTGGGACATTTCTACAAAATATAGTAAGATATTAGTTATATAGATACTATACATTTATATTTTGGAATTGAATTTTATATTTAGAAAAACATATTTCACATATATACATATGCTATACATAAGTTCAAATTTATGACTAATAACCTCAATTGTTATATTTTAACATCCTATAAAACTAAAAATGAATATAATGTATGTTTAGAAATTAAAAACATACAAAAAATATTTGGTTATTTGTATGACATGTTATGGAGTATATTACAAGATTGTAGTTTAAAAAATATAACATATAATTGTATGATAGAAATTAGGTATATGAATAAATATATATATATAACTAAAAGCACACATTAATATATATATATATATATATATATAGTGATTATTAATTTACGATATTATTGGGACTATATTTTACATAGGGATTTCAAAAAAATTATTATCTTATTATCTTATCGAATATCGTTACTTTTTACACTGCCCCCACTTGGGACTAGCACAATTTATTAATTTATAGTGTTTATTAATTTATAGAGTATTACTTTATAGAGGTTTTACTGTAATTATACATTTAACAATGCTATATTCTTAATTTGTTGGTCAACTGAGTATAGAAATTTAATTCACCCTTAATTTTAAAATTATTTTATGTTGGATGTCTTTAGAATAGGTAGAAAAGTTTTAAGTGTATACTTTAGGACACTTTAGATCTACTGAACATTTTTAACTATTCTAAATAGGGAAAATTGGAAAAAAAGACATAACTTTGTCCATATATACATTTTTTTTGGAAATTATCAGTCTTGACTAAACTACCCCTATTAACATATAAATCAAATTTTAAAGGGTTTTTAAAGTTGAAAAATATCAAATAATGTAAAAAAGTCATTATAAATTATATTTAAAGAAAATGCTTTTCAATTTTTTTTTTAAATAATAGTTTTTCACATAGATGACTTTTGTTCTGAAAAATTTAGAAAACGTTTTCTTATTTCTAAAAAATTTAGATTACGTAGCCTTATGTTCTGAAACATTTAGATTATCCATTCTACCATTTTATACATGTTCTACGAATTTTAGAATGGAAAACATGTTCCAAAAGTTTCACAATACAAAATTTTGTATGTTCTACGAATCAGAATACGGATTCCAAAATTATTTTATGTTCTGCAAAATTCAGAACATGTATCCTACGATTTACTACATGTCCTTAAAAATGTAGAATATATATCCTAAAATAGTTTTGAATATATATTCTGAAAAATATTCAGTTAAATAAGTGTGGAAACAGAATCGGATAATTAGGAAAGTCGATAAATTAGTTAGAATCGAATATATGATTCAGATTCTCTAACAGATTTTTCAGAATATGTATTCTGAAAATTTTAGATGTAATAATTTTTACAAAAAACGATTTTAGCCCTAAAATTATGTTCCTAAAACTATAGACACGACTTCTTCTTTTTTCTTTTCTCTATTCTCTTAAAGTTTTTCAGCTCTTTTTCTTTTAATTATGCTGCAAATCTATGTTTCTTCGGAGAAGGAGAGGCGTAGCCGTCAAGGGTTTTGTTTTTTATTTCTGGTTTTTATTTATATGTATTATATGTATTATTGTAATTTTTCAATAATTAAGGGTTTGATTTTTATTTCTTTTGGCCTTGCTTAAAATAATACATAAAATAGTTTTAATTTAAATTATCTTAATTATACTTTGAAGGTATAAATAGATTTTAATCTATATTAAATCTTAATTCACCAAACTTTTAGAAAAAAAATATATAACGACAAAGTTTTAAAAAATGTCTCTTATTTCCAATTTTCTCTTCTAAATATATCCCTCATAAAATTAATAACTAAATTAGTTTAAGACACCAAAATAAATTACCGAAGAAAATGGTCTACTATAGTGGACAACTTGTTTGAATCTCTTGGTCAATGTTACTTGTTTTCCAAGAATGTGTGCGAAACAAGTTGACAAGTTTTCTGACTAGATCTCTTTAAAAACGAGTAATTGAGGAACTTTCCTCAATATATATGTGTATATATTATATATATATATATATATATAAATAAATTCAGAAAGATATATTAAAGTTGACCAAGACTGTCTAACTCTTTTTGGGAACTACATATATTAAAAGGGGAATTTGAGGATATGGTGTTCATTTCGGCCTGGTCAACGAAAGATGATATTTTAAAAACTAAGTTAACGAAAAGTTCATGTTTTGAATGGTCATATAGAAAGTTCGTGATTTAAATAGCCAAAATTTGAAAGTTCGTGATTTAACTGACATTTTTCCCAATTTGAAATAGGGAAAAATGCTATTTTAATCTCAATTAAAGATTTAGGGAATTTTGTAAGCTATGCCATTTCTTAAACTCAAAATTGTTAAAATGTCATTATGAAAAACATCTTTCAAAACCTGCCACAAAGGGAAAAGTTTGGACGATTTTGCCCTCAGCATTGTTGAGTGAGTTTTGGACACAAACATCTTTCAAACTGTGCCACAAACATCTTTCAAAGCTATATACGTATGATGGACAACAAATTAGGAAACAAAAATGGACATATTACAGACATCGGATATGGTTCACCAGATCTAGTCCACCGGATCTAGTCCATCTACACACAAATGTCTGATCCAAAGTGTACACCTAGATAAGTCGTTGATGGATATCTTCTATAGATGCATCACTTGTTTCATCTTCAATTTAATTATTTGTGGTTTCAAGAGATCTGTAGGATAGACAAGTTTGGTCTACCTTGGGTCCATCAGATCTGGTCCATCAGATCTCGTCTGTCGAAACTGGTTTACCGGATCTGGTCCCCATGAATTGGTCCATCGTAACCGGTCCATCAGATCTAGTCCATCGGATTTCGCTGTCGGAACTGGTCTTTCTGGTTGGTCGAAACTGGTCCGCCGAATCTGGTCTGCCAGAACTGGTTATAGTTCACCAGAACTGGTTATAGTTCACCAGAACTGAATGTGGTTTGCCGAAACTCGTCTACTTGAGTTATGGTCTGTCGGAACTGGTCTGTTGAATCTGATCTGCAGAAACTGGTCTACGGAACTGGTTATAGTTCACCGGAATTGGCTATGGTCCGCCGGATCTGGTCCTTCAGAGTTTGTCCGTCGGAGTTTGTCTGTCGAATCTGGTCTGTCGAATCTGGTCCGTCGGAGTTCGTCCGTCGGATCTAGTCCGTCGGTACTGTTTGTTGTTGGAATAAGAAAAAAAAAAGTTGAAGATGAAGAAGAAGAGAGAGATAATGAAAGAAAAAAAAATAATTATGTTTTGAAGATTTCATTGATAAGAAGGATAGCATAGTCTTTTTACATTGACTCTATGGCATGTTTTGAAAGAAGTTTTAGAAAATGGCACTCCAAAGAACTTTTGTCACTGTTCATGTCATTCTCCACAATTTTCTCAAAGATTTAATTACTTAAGTAACTTTTACAATATTTGGGTTAAATGAGTTTTTTGATGTCTAAAATACTTTTATTGTCATTGATAGGAAATTTTTTTTTTACCACATTACCCTCAAGTTTTTTTTCTTCAAATTTTCGGATTAAATAGTTTTTTTTAAATGTCTGTGGTTCTATCGTTGTAGATTTGTTTTTGTGTGGCGGATTTATTTTACATCACAGATTTTCTGTTTTTTTTTGACAAATTTATTTTGTGATGTTATTACAAATTAAATTTTTACGACAGATTTATTTTCAATGACAGATTTATTGTCGAGGTAACCATAGACTTTTTTTCTATATAACAGATATTTGAGATACTAGTTGTTACATATTTTGTAGGCGATAAAAAATTTGTCGTAAGGTGGCCGATTTGTGAATGCAAAAACAATTACTATTTAACTTATAGTTATGACATACTTTTCGTATTACGACATATATGGTTTTTCATTTTAAAATCTGTGGAATGATAACAGACTTTCAAAAAAAAAAAATTCTAGACTGACCTATTGTGAGTATATTGTTGTTTCATGTGTTGCCAGATTTATTTTACGACATGACAGTTTTTATTTCTTTCTAAACAAATATGCCATTCGATAACAGTTTTTTTGAAGGAAAACACAAATTGCTAGAATAACTTTTATAGTGCTTACAATTTTGTTATAAACTTTGTGTGCATGTTATATATATTTTTTTTCTAAATTCGTACCTTTATCCATCCCATAAATTCTTTGATCTTGGCCGGCGCATCTAAGCACCATACTGAAGTAGTGTACCCTTCGAGAAAATCACCAGCGCGACCCTCGTTTCTTCGCATTGTGGTCAAAGGTGTTGCAATTCATGCATTGAACTAAAATGCCAAAGCAATAGCATATCTGATTTATCTTTTTCTTTTTTTTTGTAAACCTGCATATCTGATTTATCTATCATTACATTTTCCAAAAGAAACTGATATTTAGTTATTTACATTTTAGATTTATATTTGACAAAAGGTTGTGTAATATGTTCTTGAGCTAAATAAAAGTTGTTCTTGATTGTTTAAAATTCTTTAAGGTTAACTTTCTTGGGGGACTAGGTCCACAATCAAGATCTATTCTAGCTTTGACTATGAAATATCCATAACTTACTTGTCGAATGGTTTCGATTGAGGATTCAAAACACAAACCGTTTAAAAAGTTCTCTCTATCAATTATTTGTAAAAAAACTAAATGTCTATTTCTCATGGCAGCTTCTACAGTTCTACATTTTCTTCTTCGTCTCCTTTTGTAGGATTGATCCCATCACGGCCTTTAGTGGTTTTCAAGTCCCAGGAGGTAGATGTGAGCGAAGGTTTGATCACTTTTCTCGAATATAAATGTCTTCATAGAGGAGGAAGAAGTAAGAGGCAAAGATCTAAAGAACCTTTTTAAAAGAATTAGCACTCGAGGATCTCACTGGCAATATTCTCAGAGTCGTCAAAATGTGGTTTCGATGAGCCCGTCAATGAAGAGATTCCCATACTATATAAGGTGGACGTTACTGGAGACTTGCCTGATCTCCAAAACATGTATTAAGACACAGATTCAAATGCAGTAGCTGAAGATGCTTAGCCAGAGATTAAGTTAATGCCAATATGGGTCATTCTTGAAATTGTCCTTCCTTCTATATTCACTTGGCAAGGTCTAAGTTTTTTAGCTAGTCCTATTACAAGGATATTTCTTACCACTTTCTGCACGATTCATTTTCAGAAGAATTTTCTATCAAATTCCTACTAATTCCGGTTTGCATCAAAACTCCGTATAAGAATTTCGTAGTAAATCATAATATACATACACATATGAAAAAGATAGAGAGAAGTCCTGACTTTTAATAATTGAATTACTAATGAATATGAATAATAATTGAAGTCCTGATTTTCGTTTACGTACTAAAAATTCTTGCCATGTTCCTCGTGATACTATCAACAATAATTTCAGTGGTGGTTGGCAAAAGCCTAGGTATGGATGGCTAAAGTGCAATTTTGATGGTAGTTTCCTGAATTCTCAAACAAGAGCAACAATTGGATGGGTTGTTCGGGATGATCAAGGTGTTTTTAAGGGAGCTGGTCATTCTACGGGTTCTTTTGTTAACAATGCTATTGAAGCGGAATGTCAAAGTCTCCTAGCTGCTATGCATCATCTCTGGATTAAAGGTCATCGAAAATTTATTTTTGAAGGAGATAATCAAATTCTGATGAACATCTTAAAAGGCAACTCTCAGAGGTTTGATATATTGAACTGGATTCACGAAATTCGTAGTTGCGAGTCAAGATTTCATAATGTTGAGTATCGTTGGGTTTCAAGAAAAGCAAATCACCCGGCTGATTTTTTAGCCAAATTTCAGCGTTCAGTTGTTCCTATGTTTACTTATTATCAGCATATTTCAGTTTGTATTTCTGATGTAATTCACAATGATTTTCCTGGTAATTAATAAAGTATTCAGTGTTAAAAAAAAAAAAACTAAAATCCACAAATGAATTAATAATTCTTTAAAATTATATATATTTTTAGTTTATATTTATGAAAATATGATTTTTAAAAACATGATTAATAATTAAAAACCATAAATAATTACTAGATATACATATTTAATAATTATTCAACTGTCAAACAAATAAATTTTATAGTAAAACAAAAATAATTAATCATACTGGAAATTATATTTAGAGAATGATTATTTTTTGAGAATTAAATGTGAATTCTCTAAATAAAATTTCCAGTATGATTAATTATTTGTGTTAAAAAAATAAGGGCTAAATAAATTTGTAGGGTTGATAAATTATGTTTCAGTTTAAAGATTTTCATTTTTAGTTTATTTCCTTTTTTAAACCTCCCGCAACCGCAAACTTTTGCGGAATGGAGCTTTTGAAATCCAGCGATTTCGAGAGATCCAAAGCGGTGTGGAACATTTTCTATGATTGGTACCAACCGCTAACAACCGCAATCGCCCGTTAACAAAAGATCTAAAGAACCTGTTTAAAAGTTTGACTTCAACCCAAAATTAAACCGGTTTAATATAAATTAGATGTAGACCAACCCGAATCGATGTTAGACGGATATTATTTTGATTAACTTAAAAATCAATATGCTTTTCAATTACATTAAGCTAAAATCGGATTAAACCAACCGGTATTTTCTTTAACTGAACCAAATTAATTAATGTTGAAAACCAAACTTAACTGAACTAATCAATATCTATTTTGTTCACATTACTCGGTTTAACCAATTAATAATCAAACAAACAAACATTATATCAAACTCTCCCAAATATTTTTCTCTCCATATTTCAAAGTCTGATTTTTAAGAAAACTTTCATGTTGAAAACAATGAGGCAAAAGTCTCTCGACCGTGTTTTTATCCCCTTGGAGTTTTTTTGGAGACTACATGGAAATGAAAAGAAAGTCAATAGTTTTTGGATGAAAGTTTTGAAAATTAAATTGACAAAAAACAACATTGTGTTCATGTTGGTTTTTCTAGGACCATTCATAGCCAACAAACACTGCAAATGGGAGGCTTAAAAACTTGTTTACCGACCCTACAAATCACCACATGATCTTTCTCTGTGTTAACAACACCAATATAAGACATGTCGAATCAAAATGATTTAATTAATTTTGATATTATGCGATCTTAATATTTTATGAGAAATACCCCTTTTGATGTACATCTTTTCAAAAATACCTATAATATCTATCCATTTTAAAAAAATATCCCTGTTTAAATATGAAAATTATAAAGTTATACATAGTTTATAAGGTACTTTTATATAATAACTACTACTCGGAGATTCGATACAAATATTTAAGGGGGAATTTCAAAAATACCCCTTTTCATATACCTCTTTTTAAAAATACCCCATTTTCAAACTTTATCAAAAAACCCACTAAAAATGTTGAAATTTATCCAAATATGTGTGTAAGCTTATAAATATATACACAAATTACCTTATAAAAACCTTATAAAAACCGTATAAACCCTTGTAAAAACCTTATAAAACTTATAAAAACGATTTAAAACTATTTAAAACATTTTAAATATTTGTATCGAATCTCCCAGTAGTAGTTATTATATAGAAGTACCTTATAAACTATATAAAACTTTATAATTTTTTATATTTAAAAAGGGGTATTTTTGAAAATGGATAGATAAAGGGGGTATTTTTAAAAAAGGGTACACCAAAAGGGGTATTTCTCAAAAAATTTCAATATTTAATAATGTTTTAAAATGTTTTAAATCGTTTTTACAAATTTTATAAGGTTTTAAAAATGTTTTAAAAGGTAATTTGTGTGTATATTTATAAGTTTACACACATATTTGGATATATTTCAACATTTTTAGTTGTTTTTTATAAAATTTGAAAAAGAGATATTTAAAAAAAAATTGTATTTGAAAAGAGGTATTTTGGAAATTCCCCACAATTTTTTAACAATTTCAAGCATAATAGAAAATTTTAATTTAAAAATAATATATAAAAATTTTAAAAAAGTTTCACGGTAGATTAAAATCTAGTACATACTTATAAATCATAATATTTTCTTACCAATATTTTCCTAAGAAGTTTTGTAGTAAATCATAATATTCATATAAGTTTTCGCCCCACACTTATTTGGGGCGAATTTCAACACATTTAATGAAGAGCCCTGACTTCCACAGGTCGCAATCGTAATTCCACATTGCGAAAGAGATTTCCCCCATATTTTTGTTCAACGTGGTGAACTCACCGACCGGAATATCCATCCACTTGATAGTTTCAATGTCATATATGTTCACACTCCGCTCTTGTAGTTTCCCCATACTCTTGGGCACGACCAACTGTACGTTCACTGGTCCCTTCCATTTGCTTCCAATCCATACCACTACAAACACTACCTCGTACCTTGTTCTCGGGGACAGACATTGTGTGTCAAACTTTCCAGTTATGTTTAGCCAGCAAACATTTCTCAAATACGCAACTTCCTTATTACCTGGTTCCCTGAAAAATACTGTGGTTAGTAATAGAAATTAAGTCTAGGAAAAGATATATATACGAGTAGGAGAGCTTACAAAACTTATAATTAGAAGCCTACAAATCAGTTTTATAAAAGTTCTTTAAAAGGTTTTAAAATAAGAAAGTCTCTCAATTCTCATATACAGTACTACCTTTTAAGTTTTTTTTCCCAAAAAATACTATAAATTGCATGGGTTTTTTGTCCAAAAATAGCACAAAAGTTTGATTTTTACACAAATACCATAAACATAAAACATTTTTTTTTTAAGGTGTAAATTATTTTATAATGTTTATTTTCAAAAATAGCACAAAACTTTTATTTTTTACACATATACCATAAACATAAAACATTTGCTTTTTAAAGGTGTAACTATTTTTTTAATGTTTGGGTTGACTATTTACACTTAGGATAAGGGGTAGGGTTTAGGGTTTAGAATTTTACAATTATTTTGAATGTAAAAAAGAAATAGTTTTATTTTTATGGTAATTTGGATAAATAATGTATTTACGTGGTATTTTTTTAAAATAAAACTCAAGATGATATTTCAAATTTTTTTTTGATCCTTTTTAGTGGTAAAATATATTTATCCATTATATTAATAACTAATAATGATTAGTAAATAACATTATTATTTTTGTAGGTTTAAATTGTACACTTTTATTTATTCGGATATTATTTTTCCAAAAAAAAATAAACAACAAAATATGGGATATTTTTTGGGATAATTTTTTTTTTTCTTGGAAAATATAATAATTAAGGTTGAGAGAAGATTTTACCTTGGAGTTTTTTGGTTTTGGGAAGGGAATAATCGGAGAGGGATCCAGAGCCAATATATGGGGTTGTGTGACCATGTAATAGAAAGTTCCCTTGCTTCAAGAACCCATATTTTTGACTATTGATATATATATATAACTGTCCATGTCAATTTCATAAACATACATAAAGACAATCAACTAAAAATAAAAGCAAATTTTATCACCTCATACGGTTGCACGGGTAATATTTTGGTCATGTTTTTTGACTTGTCAACTTTGACCTGCTCTGCCACTGCTTCCTCACTGAACATAAAATCCAAACATCAAAAGAGAGAAAGTTATATAAACTCGGAGGTTCCAATCATTTAATTTCAACATAGATCATGTCACCACTAAGAAATTAATAAAAGACAGCTAGTAAATTACAATGAAGAGGTGGTGATTTAAATAACATTTAAATGGTTATAGAAAAGAGCTACGAAATCATAAGAAAAGCTTTTACTTTGCTGCCTTGCACACACGAAGATGCAGTTTTTGTTAGAGAGGAAATACTAGTTCAAGATCATCAACAAAACAGAGTGGCGAATTAGAAAGGTAATTTAGAAACAAGAATCTTAAAAGGAAATCATAATAAAGGGGTGGAACAAAGACATCATGAAGCAAAGGGAAGTGTATAGAAGGAAGCACGTGAAAGAAGCTAAGCGAATCGTCAGATACATTAATGGAACAATTGATGTAGGATTGATGATATTGCGACAAGAGATTCAAATTTGGTTGGTGATTAGGGTGGATATAGAGAAGACCTTAAGTCAACTAATGGTTACTGTTTCAGTATTAGATGTCATAGTTCTCTTGGAGAACCAGCAAGAAAGATGCCATTGCTCAATCGACGGGGAAGCAAAGTATATGGCTTTATGTGGAGCAACAAATCAAGCCATCTGGTTAAAACGTCTTCTAGAAGAGCTAAACTTCAATAATACTCAAGGAGGAGTTCCTATCTACTGTGACAACCAGTCTACAATTAACTGGTATTGGAGAGAATCTCGTCCAACAGGAAAGAACATACCATATCCACAATTAAGTATCACTTTGTCAGAGAACTAGAGAGAAGGAGAGACATTCAACTAGTTACTGCATGAGTAAAGATCAACTAGATGATATCTTCATCAACGCTTTGGAAGGACCTACGTTTGATAAATTCTGTGAACAACTTGGTTTGAGTGACAAAATGGCAAGTGGGAGTGTTGAGTAATGCCTTTTTGGCTCTCAAACCAAACTAGAAGTGTTCAAGGATAATTTAGAAAAAAAGTGTGGTTAGTTCAATTAATGGAGTTGTTGAAAGAGTATTCTAGTATCGTTTAAAGTTGCTTGTAAGACTGAGCTATGTTTTAAGAGTTAAGTTGGAATTAGTGTGTAGTGGTTACTGGTTAGTAGAGTTGCTGTTGCTAAGATTTGTCTAGATATGTTTGAGTTTGTATTGCAGTGTGCAAAAACTAAGAAAAAGATATAAGTTTATTCTAAGGCTTTTATCTCTCCAATGCTTCAACTGATTTCCAATACTCTAGAACCAAAACAGAGAAATGCAGAAAAGCTTTCCAAATGATCGAGAGGTGTAAAATCAAAAGCTATATTCTAAATTGTATGTATAAAAAAACTTACTTTGATGCCTTGTCATTTTGTAATGTTTTCCCATTTCTTCCTGCGGAGGTATCCAGCAGCATTTTCCTAACGTCCTCGACGATTATGCTTATGAATTCTTCATCGGTTTTATCACTTTGGTACAAGAAAAGAAAAAGGGGAAAATGAGTACTATACAAGAAACAGTCAAAACATTACACAAAAATTATCAGTTGAGTGACAAGAACATAAAAGTGCAAGTTAAATAACCTGTCTTCTGGCAAGTTCAAGGCAAACCTTTGGCAAATAGTTACCACAGCTTCCTTCCATTTTTGGGATGATGATTCTGGTTTAGTATTATCGCATCTACTTACCAGATCCTTTAACTGATCGCCGAATTTACCTTGAAAATGTTTAACCACGGCGATATCAAGCTTGTAGAAGATGGGAATCACTCTGAGCTTTTCTTGTTCCACGCGTTCCGTGATCTCTACCAGCTCATCCAGACACCATTTTGACTCGGTGTATCCTTCAGAGAAGATAACCAAGACGATTTCCGACTCACGTATCCTTTCAAACAGTGTGGTTAGCTTTTTGCCCCTCTCCTCATCTTCGTCTATATACACGTTGATGTTTCCCTTTCTCAAGGCAGTCACAAGAAAGCAGATGAAGGTTTTCCGAAGGTCTTTTCCCCTGAAATTGATGAACACTCGAGGTCCCTTAGAGGAAACAAAAGATGCTCTTGTCATCGAGGAGAAAATTACAAAACGAGTTTTATCGATTTTTGTTTTGAGTTTAGAAAAAACAACAAGAAGAAGATACAGAAGATGCTCCTGCCATCGAAGAGCAAATTACAAAACGAGTTTTATCGATTCTCGGTTGAGTTTGCTACATGGATAATAGATTGATGACGCTAGGCTAATGTATTTATTTGCTACTTTCCTGGAAACTTCAGGCCAAAACGTGTTGACTAGTAAGTCACGCAAAGATAGAGTTAGGGGAAGCAATTTGCTCTATATATTTCTAGAATCTGTAAACGTCGTTTGATTCATTTCGGAGTTCAAACATTTTCCTCAAGGTAATATATATAATAAATAAAATTCATAGTTGACTGTAACAGGATAAACCAATTAGAATCTTGGTTTAGTCCTCTGAGTTCGGATTTAGTTGTCCGGTTCAATAATCTTATTCACGTTATATGTAATGTGTTTGCAATTTGGGGATAATCAATCAAACACAGTTTATCTTCTTCAATCTCTTTCTCTCTCTCATCATCTATCACCATCTAAATCCAACCTTCTCGTAGTGTTGTTAAAATGGGTAAACCCACCCCATTTAAACCCAGCCCATTTAAAACCCACCCCATTTATACCCAAACCCATTTAATACTAAACCCCATTTAACCCCATTTAAGTTTCTCTTACCCATTTAACCCCATTTAGACCCATATAACATTGTTTTGTTATAAAATTACAATATACCTAAGAATTGTTTAATTAATTATTTTAAATTACTCATATTGATTAGTTTACTAAAATTTATTGATTAATGATTATATAAACTTATTTTGTTAAAAAGTAATATAATTTAATTTATTCTTTATTATTATTCTTTAAAAAGTATGAGATAATCTTTCCACATAAGAAATAAATATTTTGTTAAAAAGTAATATAACCTAACCAAAAACAACGTAGTTTAGAGTTAGTAAAAAATATATATATATATATATATATATATATATGGGTTTAAATGGGTACCCATTTATTTAACTCAAAACCCATTTAATAAATGGGTCTAAATAGGTATACCCATATAAACCCATATAATAAAATCAGATAAATGGGACTAAATGGGTCTTTTTTTTACAATGTACCCATTTATTAATTGGGGGGTCCATGCCCATTTTAACAATACTACCTACTCGAAATGACTCTTCTTTCATAGTCATCTTCTAGACTGAGTTTACCCTTTTCTCGAGTTCTCGGTGAATTCTGGATTGGGATTATCTATCGGTTATATTTTACTGTTTCATTGACCATAGATGAAGTACAATTTCGGAGTAGTTTCCACATTAATTTATCAAAAATATAATCAAAATGATTTTTCTAATTTATACTTTTTAAGAATATCATACTAAAGTTCATACAGGAAAAAGAAAATTTATAATTCGAGTTTACAAAAACGAACATACATTACTCAATTAATGGAAAACAGTTTATGTTTAACATCTCACTCTCGAGAATTGAGATCTCGAATAAATCTGCAACAAAGAGAAAAAAGAAAGCAGTGGGGAGGAGAAGAAGAAGAAGAAGGAAGATGCTCACGTGAGGAAGAAGAAGAAGCGGAGTCAAGGTCAACGACACAAGAAGATGTGGACAAAGTCAACTAGGAAGTTGGACTTGTGTTTTGTAATATAAGTTGTAATGGGCTGCAGATGTGTTGTTGTAATGGGCTGCATATGTGTTAAGGCTCAAAATGAAGAAGTGTTTGTTTAGTTTAAAGCTAAGATATTAGACCAACATTAACAATGGGATTTAGAGAGTATGTTAGGGTATTAAGGTTAAAAAATAAATCAAAATTGATTAATATAACTAAGATACGTAAGTTTGGAGAAGGATTTATGTTGAGGGTTAAGATACGACACGTGGCAGACGAGGATTGGGTGAGGTGAGAAATATATAATAATTTTTTTTTTTTTTACTCAGATATTTCTTTTTTTTCTCTCTTCTTCTCTTTCTCTCTCTAAACCACATAACTACGAAATCGACGATAAACTTTTTTATTGTACTTTTTTATAGTTTCTCTTTTATGTATGTTTTCAAATTCTAAATTCTAAATTTGCAATAAATATAAGATTTTCTTAAATTACAAATTACAAAAAAAAAAAAAAAAAAAAAAAAAAAAAAAATTCTAAGATACCCAACTTAATATTGTACCAATAAACACATCCAAAAACTAAAAACAAAATCAGATCTCTTAAACTCTACTTTTTCATATTTAATATTAAACTAATACTAACATACCCAAATTAAAAACCCACCTATAATGTTGCTCTTAGAGTTGTAAAGTGTGATATGTTATTTATTAAAAGGTTGCTTGGAGAAGTGAACCTAGTATTTAGAATTATGGGTTATGCAAGAGTCATGATTAAAGTAAAGTGTCTAGAGTAGCAATACTAGCAAAAACGAATGTTTAAGTTTTACCATATACTATAACTTTTTAAAAAAAAATTATATTATATCCAAACTTAATAAAAAAAAAATTAAGACCAGAGATGATGCTAAACCAGTGGAACTATTCTTTCGAAGAACAGTGGATGGTCTTAAGTTTTGTAAGAATTTTCTTTGCGGGAGATTTTCTTTTAATCACATGCAAAGATCTACCTCGTATATATACAAATATACTGTACAATAAATCATAACACTGGTACAAACTCAACCATACATATAAACTATAGCATTGGTACAAACCTAACCAAACATATTATATAAATTTATTAAAATCCACATCAAACCATATTGGAAGATTTGATGAAGTTATTAGAATCAGCACATGATTTCTTATCAAAAGCGGAAACATCAAATTAAGAGAGAAACAAAACTTTTATATAAGCGTGGTTAACTACAACTGTTCTGAGGTTAAATCAAAACCATAGACTCTAAGTCACGTACACTTATCTAATATATAGAAGTTTACTATAAAAAAGGGACAAAAAGAAGTACTAAAACACAGATAAACCCTTGTTTCATGTACGCAAAGTTACGATGATGTCTTGAATTACATCATTCTGTTTCTTTCTAGGTTTCATCTGCCCGACTCCATATGCTCCAACAACAAATGAATATCGTCGACCATTGAGTTTATAAAATCTCTGTCGGTCATGTTACTGTAATACCATACAAGTGAAAGATATCAACAAGAAAGCTTATCAGGTTCTAAATTTATAATCTACTTAGGCAAAAATTGTACCTTTGTTCCGGCAAGGACATGCCTTTTATTAGGGGAATAGACACTAAAGCATCCTTCCATTCCTGAGTTCTTTCTGGTTCGTGCTGATGATTGCGTTTCATATCCCTGAATCCATCTCCAAATTTACCCCTAAGTTGTTTCACAACGAGAGGTTCAATTTTGTAGAAGATGGGAATCACTCTTAGATGACCTTGGTCCTTACATTTCTTAATCTCGGCCAGCTCATCCAAACACCACTTTGAAGTAGTGTAATCCTTAGAGAAGATCACTAGTGCGATATTAGACTCGTTTATCCTCGTAAATAGGTTATCCAAATCTGACCCCAAAGGCTCATCTTCGTCCATGAAGACGTTAAATCTCGCATCTCTCAAGGCAGCGGCGAGAAAGCTTATGAAGTTTTTGCGCAATTTTATTCCGCGGAAGTTGATGAAAATTTGAGGGTCCTTTGGCAAGTATCTCCCAACAAAAGAAGAAGCAGGAACAATAGAACTGCTGTATTGAGGACAATGCAAAAACAGAGTTTTGGTTAATTATCGTTTGACCTTTTTGTATTTATAAAAATGTTTGAAAGATATAAAGCTAATTCAACTTCCTTATATACTGGGATGCAGTAAAACTAAAGCTATCATATGATCATCTAAATAACATAACAGTTGGGTTTACAAAAAAAAAAAATAACATAACAGTTTTTTTTGTTTTTAAAAAAAAACTTACTTTGATGCTTTGTGTATAGTGTGAGTGAGTGTCCTTGCAGGAACCGAGGTATACGACCTCATATTCCCAACCTCCTTGATGATTAAATTTATGAAATCTTCATCGGATTTTTCACTTCGATAAGAAATGAAAAAAAGCAAAAACTAATCAATGAGTCAACTAGCTTTCTTTTTATACTTGGTATAGTGTATTACAAGAAACAGTAAAAAACCACTACAAAGTTTCTTTTTGATAGCCAAAACCTTACCAAGTTATTTATATTATAGCTAGTATCCAAACACAGTAAGAGAATATAAAAGAGGAAGAAATAAAAACCTGTATTTTGGCAAGGACAAGGCAAACAATTGGGAAACAGAAGCCAAAGCTTCAATCCATTTCTGATGTCTTTCTGGTTGATGATGACATCTCTCTATCAGGTCGCGGAATTGATCGCCAAAATTTCCTTTAAGAAGTTGCACAACTCCTGGAGCAATCCTGTAGAAGATGGGAATCACTCTAAGATTCTTTTGATCCATGCATTCCTTGATCTGTACCAGCTCATCCAAACAATATTTTGACTCTGTGTATCCCTCAGCGAAGATGACTAGCGCGATTCTTGACTCACTTTTCCTATCAAATAGGCTGAATATATGTTTGCCCCTCTTCTCCAGCTCGTCTATAAACACATTGAGGTTTAGGTCCATCAAGGCAGGCACAAGACATTTGACGAAATTTTGGCATAGCTGCTTTCCACCGAAATTGATGAACACTTTAGGCCCTGAAATGGATGATACATTGGAAGACCAAGAGGAAGAAATAAGTGATGCTCCTGCCATTGAAAGGCAAACAAAAGGAGTTTGATTGGTTCTTCTTTGAATTAGCTATATGGATTGATGAAGCTAATGTGTATGTTTGGTTGAATTTGAAAAGTCACTTTATAGAGGTAGTGATAGTAGTTATTATTATTATGAATAATATTCTGAAAAAGTAAATTTTTGGCATTTTCCTAGAAGATTTAGTGGACAAAAATAGATGTTGCAATAGATATTACAACTAGTTGACAACTTGTTTCTTTTTCTTTTGTCGTCAGAATTATTATAGTTGACAATTAAGTCTCGAAAACAAGTTGACTCACTTGTTCTCTGACTAAATCTCCCTAAAAACGAGTAAAATATATCTTCTTCTATTATATGGATAGGGGAACCAATGTGCTCTAAGAAAATTTGCCTCAATATATGTAAATAAATTAAGAAAGAAATATTATAGTTGACCAAGTCTAAGACATATATCAACTCTTTTGGACTATATACACTACATATTAAAATGATAAGGTTTTAATAAAACATTTATCAACGACATAATATGCCATTAAAAATAGTCAAAGATACTAAATTAAAAGAAAAATGTAATTGTCTTCCAAATTAATGAAAAATCCTCATTAGTTTTCTTTTTTGGGTCACCAAAAAGTAAAATTAAAAATCCTCTTTAAGTTCTTTCTACTTTCGTTGTAATTAGAACTCTCATAGAATTTTTTTTACTCATTAAATTCATTAAATGGGGTTTTTATTTATATAATAATATTTTTCCACGGTATCATGTAACCACAGTTTAAAGTCATATTTTGTAAATACAATTTATCACATCATCTAGTATATGTATATATATAGTTGACCAACTTGATCGCTCTCAACAGAAAATGAAAAACAAAGTTGACTAAAGTATAAGGATATACAACTGTTTTGGACTAGTCCATGTTTTCACCACCAAAAATTCATATTTGCATATTTATGTTCTTAACAAAAAAAAAATGAAATAGATATATAATAATTAAAATGGTCAATATAATTAGATGACAATCATCAACTTGTGAAAGCTCTCTTATGTGGCACTTAAAACACACACACATTTTAGAACCACGAAAAAAAGTTTTGGAAAAATTGATATTTATATAGTTTTCTAACTAAAGACCTTAAGACTAGTTTTGTTTCGTAACATTTAAGTTGTGCATTTTAGATGTCCTTTTATTTCTGCATAAAGGTTTTTTACAAAGAATATTTAGTATAAAATACCAAAAAGAAAAAACAATAGTATATATGAATCATGTGTGAAATGGGGAACTTAAGTTTGCTGACAAAGTGACAAGCCGAATTTGCTAAGAAGTGTGACACCTTTTGTTTGTTCCCACTGACTATTGTATGGTTAATTATTGGTCGTCCACACATTAAAATTTAAATGGTCATTCCCTATACTGTCAATAAATTTCATATTATTGTATATGTAATATCCCCATTTCATACATGTGATCGTAATATTTTCTTCTGCAAATGATCAAATTCATTCTCATGCTTATTCTGGTGATGAAGTTGTTAAAGAAAAAGATGAGTATACCTCTATTTATACTTTTCTTTTTCGAACCTCTATCGATACTAGAACTTATTTATCTTGGAAAACATTTCAGTTCGTACACGCTCCTCTATATAGAAAAACCTAGTAGAAATGTGTTTTGAAAGTTGTCATTATATATGTGGTCTTTTTCAGACCCATGTATTTTTATCCATGGGTGCAAACTGCAGCTGAGGAGGTTCCACCTTGTAATATCGAACATTTAATGGGGGTATTACAAACCATTATGCCACTCAAATTCTTTAATGTAGTGTAAAATTTTAGGTTTTAAGCCACTCAAATCATTATGCCACTCAAATGCCTTCATGTTTTGCCGGAGCTTAGAATGCTTTCCAACTAATATTAGGCGATAGCCAAATCGCATGTTTCTGAACTATAATGTAAATTGTTTGGAGCATTTGGTCCAAACTCGGATTTCCTACACATATGTGATTTTTGTTTCTGAAGTGGATTAAATCCGGGTTAGGTTTAATAAATGTAAATACCGTTTTATAAATATTGATCAATAACATATAATTTTAATTATAAAATCTTTATTATTCAACATTGTATGACAATAAACTAAACAACAGTTAACTCTTTAAAAATAACAAACCACAATAGCACACGCTAGTGTTTGGGACGAATGGCAACACATTTGACGTAAAGCCCTGACTTCCACAGTAGGGACTCGTGTTCGTACATTGCAAAAGAGATTTCTCCGACGTTTTTCTTCGATGTGGTGAACTCGCCGACTGGAATATCAATCCATTCGTCAGTTATGTGATCTACCATGTCCATACTCCACTCTTGAGGATTCTCCCTATTACTAGGTAAGTCCAGCTTCAGCTTCACCGGTGTCTCGCATTCGAATGTTGTGTCTTCCAACATCACCACGAACACTACTTCATACCTTGTGTTCGGGGACAGATATCGTGTGTCAAACTTTCCGGCTATGTCTAGCCAGCAAACGTTTCTTAAATACGCAACTTCCCCGTCTGATTCACTGAAAAAAATATTATTTTCATAAAGATAAGAATTTATTAAAGATCATGTAGACTGGGCGAGAGCTTACCAAATATGTCGAAGATTATTTCTATAACTTTGTATAATGAATAAAGAGAAGTTTTACTTTGGATTTTGGTTTGGGAGAGTGAGCCAAATCCAATGGTTGGAGTTATCTGACCATGCAATAGAAAGCTCCCTTGCGTCAATCATGAAAACATTACCTTGTGGTCTATTGAGAACCCAGAATTTAAACTGTCGATATATAAATATCATTGTCAATATCATATACTGATAATGATACCAATAAACTTATATAGAAAAAGAAACTAATGTGATCACCTCGTACGATTGCTCTGGTAATTGTTTCCTATTTGGAGAATTTCCAGACATGTTATCAGGCCAGTAAAATTCATTGAGCAACGAAACTTCAACGGCTTCCTCACTGATCATAAATCCAAACAACGAAATGAAAAAATTTCTAAGGAAACACAACTCGGAGGTTTATATTCCTTTCATTTGAACAATACATTAAATCTATAGTCCAATAAGAAAATCAAACATAGCTAGCTTAGCTAGTAACAAATCTTTTCTTTCATGCAAATGCCATATTTTAAATTTTATCCTTTAAGAAGGAATGCTATTTAGTATATCATAAATGGTTCCAGTGGATGGACTTACCTTGGTGTCTCGCGCATAGTGATAGTGAGTTTACTTGCAGGAACTGGGAAACCCTCAACATCATTTTCTCTTATTTTTCCTTTTCTTCCTTTGGATGTATTTGGTATCCGCAGCACTTTCCTAACCTCCTTGACGATTAATCTTACGAAATCTTTATCGGATTTATCACTTTGGTATAAGAAAAGCAAAAAAAAAAAAACGAAAAAATGTTACAAATTTGTAATTATAACTAGTATCGGAACATACTAAATGATCAGATTTATTATTTGTAAAGTGACAAGAACATAAAAAAAGTAGAAGAACAAAAACCTGTTTTCGGGCAAGGTCAAGGCAAAATTTTGGCAAACAGAAACAATAGCTTCCTTCCATTGTTGGGCTCTTTCTGGTTGATCTTGATATATATATTCCAGATCCCTGAATTTATCGCCGAAATTTCCTTTAAGACGTTTCACCACCTCGGGCTCAAGCTTGTAGAAGATTGGGATCACTATGAGTTTTTCTTGATCCATGCATTCCCTGATCTCTACCAGCTCGTTCAAACACCATTTCGACTCGGTGTATCCTTCAGAAAAGATAACCAACGCGACTTTAGACTCACCTATCCTATCGAACAGGCTGATTAGGTATTTGCCCCTCTTCTCATGCTCGTCTATAAACACGTTGATGTTTTTTTCTTGCAAGGCAGGGACAAGAAAGCTGATGAAGCCTTTGCGTAGATCTTTTCCACGGAAATTGATGAACACTTGAGGTCCCGTTGGGATGAATGATATACTAGAACTAGAAGACCAATTAGAAGATGCTCCTGCCATTCGATTGGAGATCTTTTTCTTAGAAACAAATGGAGTTTGATATATTCTTTTTTGAATTTTGTATGCGTTGATGATACTTGTTCTACCTTTGTGACAGATATATATAGAGCTAATCATGTGCTGATATTATTATTATTATTATTAATATAGCCTTGATATTAAAAAGATTGGTTTTGGCGTTTTACTCGAAATTTTTTAGTGGCCAATAGTGGAAGTTCGAAAAGAAGACAAGAAGTATTAGTTGACAACTTGTTCTTCAGTTTTTCTTGTCAACGTTATTGCTTGCAACTTGTTTCCTTAGAATAAAAAGTTGACTTCTATGCTCACTATATCTCTCCAAAACGAGTAAGCTCTGACTTCTTCACTGACGACGATAATAGGAAAGCAATTTGTTTAAAAATTCAGGAATCAAAGAAAATATGCATCATAAAGTTGACTTCTATGCTCACTATTGAAGTTAATTCGTACTTTAAAGAAAATATGCCTCGAAGTAAAAGTTAGGGAGTGACTTTGATTAAGTAGTTAACAGTATATCTTTGCAATATTTGCTATTGAAATTTAACGTCAAAGTAATAAAAACACTTATAGTTGACCAAGTCTAAGACATATAGATATTGGTTTTAACTGTTGTTTAAAAAAAAAAAAAACACATGTTGTTGTTCTTGTTGTCCATCGATCGAATTTTTCAGTTTCTATGGAAAAAGAAAATCATAGTCATTAATCGGCGATGTGTGATGCATAATCACTTCAAGCAATATATCAAATTAAGTGTTCTTTTTATCGAAGTGATGAGTAAAGCATTTTACGAATTTCATCTTACAAATGTTAGTCTTTTACGAATATATAAAGAGGGGAATTAACAAAATCATATTTTGCATGTAAGACTTTCATTTGGAAAACATGAATACTTTGTGTTTATTTTCTTTTAGCACTTATTCGAATGGTTTATGTTATCATATAATAGATATTGCGGGCTAGGACATGAATTATATATTGATCATCTAACACATATTACGGGGTAAGACATGAATATCTCATACATTTTTGGATATATCTTTTGTTTCTCAACCTTGAGCCGATCTTTGAATTTTGTGATGACCAATCAGCTTTCTATCCACATCTATAAAATCAGAATCATCGGAACTCAGATTTACATCACTAGCTATCCAAACATAGTTTCTTTTAATGAATCCCTGAAGGGTAGAAGAGGTGGCAAAACTTGGTAACTATAATTATCTTCCATTTTTAAAACAATTCAACCTATAATTTGTCCTTTAGATATTACTTATATAAAACTCTTTTTTTTTTGTTAACATTTATATAAAACTCTATAAATATAAATTTAAATATAAATATGATCATTTATATTATTTAAATTCAATTGAATAAATTTAACAGGAAAAAAAAATTATTAGAAAACGATGCCACAAGAATAGAGAACACCAAATGACAATTTTTTAGAGTGTGTAAAAAGAACACTTCTATTTTGACATATTGATTGAATTTTCGTTAAAAAAAAATATATGTTTTTTTTAGAAAGATGGTGTTGATAATATTTTTTTGGGGACAATTCTAGATTTTATTTTGACAACTCTGAATTGGGCTTATAAAAGCCCGTTATAATATTTTCGCAGATTTAGACCTATCATAAAATGCAAAACATGATAAAGCCTGTTTACAAAAAGGTTTTATTTACCTTCACTCGTCCATATGTCAATATAAGCATTTCCATAAAACCTTTTTGTAAACAGGCTTTATCATGTTTCGGCCCAATAAGAATCAACTCCAGCCCAAAAATCAAAGTAGGTTGTTTCGTATCAACATCCCATTTCAGTAATAGAGGTTTGTTTTTATGACAAGTCTGAATTGGATTTTTAAAGCCCATATCAAAAAACTTCGTAAGTCTGAGTAAAAACATGCACTAAGCATAATAGTCTTTTCAGTTTTTAACACACTAATGACTAAAAATTAGAATAATAAAAAGCAATACTAATTAATTTGATAAGTAACTAATCCAACCGCTAATTATTTATTTGATGATATTAAACAGATTAGGTTTTGCTGTCACGATCATCCATATCTCATGACTGACCAACATGAACCAAACATTGAGATTGAATGATGATGATGATAGCACTCGATATAATTCTTTGTACTTAGAATTCTAAAATAAGAAAGTCTTCTCTAGAGAAAAAATAAAATTTAATTATTCTAGATAATGTTTAATGACTTCATAGAAATATATCATATTGCTAATGCTCGATCGGACAATTAGTGATTGATTATTACAAACAATATTTTTTTTTTTTTTTGTAATGAGGCCGGTGAAACATTTATATCAATTATCAAAGGTGGTAACAAACCAAACCAAACATATATATTATAACCTTTATAATTTGTAGCCTCTCTAACATGTAACTAATTATGTCATACAAATTTTAAAAATATCCACATCAAACCATTGGAAGGTCGTTTACTACTACAAACAATATGTTTAGGTATTACTTATCACCATAGTTTTTGGTAAACCCCTTTTGTTATACTATATTTATATGCGTGTGCATGCATCTTGTCGGATCACATTTAAGTTAATTATATACAAGTCTTCTTCAAATTAAACAATTTCTTGGCTCATATTGATTTCGACGTGTAACTAATATCTTAGAATCATGTTGGCTTAAGATTGTCATTTGGTTTGGACTGCTTTAAAATATTTCAATGATTCTTTTCGTACGTCATCTTTTATAACTGATGTAACATATCCGAAACTAATGATATTATTCTGCGTTTAAACAATCAAATTATAGTATTTCATTTTTCTATATGATAAACATCGTTGACATCGACAACATGAATGGTAACAAATTCATTATTTTGTTTCTCAAATTAAATTAAAATCTTATGTAATACTACGACTTAGCTTGTTTGGTTGTTCGTACTTCAACGTTATTTTATTAGTACTTCGTATATTAATTAAGCATCCCGATTCAATATAAAACATCGACATATTTTTTTTTTCTTTAGGTCAAAACGTCTACATATTCCATAATACGATTTTTTTTTATAAAGATTATTACATTAGCCTGAGAAGTAGGTGAAGAAGTTTCCTGATGGTCTCTATATATATGATTGTAATATGAAATTATAATCGTGATTATGTGCAGGAACATATTAACTAAAATCAACTTGAATTCAAATATACATGATTGTAATGTGAAACTAATAGTGATTATGTACAGTGCAGCTTTGAACATTAATTAAAGCAAATTGAATTCAAGATTAGCACATAAGTTAATTGTCCGTCCGAATCATGACAATAATATACAAAAAAAAAAAATAATAAGTAAATCATGATAGTGATTTTCAACTTTATGTCATAAAAATATAGTATATGATCACAGAGACATATATATAATACTTTATAATAACGAGTAATTAGAGCTGAAACCGTGTAATGGTTAAACACTTAGGCGGCGGGATTAGTGGGGACAAATACAGATTATGGATTGCATTTAAATCATTCCATTTAGATAGGTGGGACGATGATTCCTAAACCTCTAACCTAACGAGTAGGGTATTAGACTTTTTTTCATTTTCTTTGACTGAATTTTTGAACAATATTCTAACTTTAAAAATCAACCTAAAATAAAATGCAAATTCAACAGTGAGAATCATTACAACTTGGTAGCGACGACAGAGACTGTCTAATCCAACTTCTAAAAGTATAGTATGAAACAAAATAGGGTTTTGTTCACTAATCAATCAAACCGCCTCAATCAAACGTTTTTATTCTAAGCTTTTTATCAGTTTGGTCCCAAAAGACAACAAAGTAGTCAATCAACACATCATTTGAGATGTTCGAAACGTGGATGTGTAAGAGACCCACTCCACGATGACTTTGCCTTCTTCCCTTGCTTTACAAAAAAAAAAAAAAATGCGGTCTATAATAATATCAATAGAAGATCCAATCATGACTCAACATTTACTCAACTATTCTACTTTTTTTCTTTTTATTCAAGAATTTACTTAAGTACTATTCATACTTTGAGTAAACGAAACTCTAAAATGGACATCAATTACTATAAAGATTATACTAATAAGAGTACTAAATTTAGAACATCAAAATGACTTCAATTATAAACATTTATTTTTCACAATATCATTAGTATCAATATGTTGAATTTTATAGCGATGTTACTTAGCTTTTTCCGATGATGGAGACCGGAGCTAGCTAGAAACGATCTCGCGAGAACCATCCTTTATCAAATCAAATGTCACTTTATACAAAAGCAAAGAAACTTGTCCGAAGAGAAAATATATAATGTTTTACCTTAAAATCGCAAAGACGTCCAAAAAAGTAAAAAGAATATTAAATAACATAGATATAATATAAAATGAAACGACAGAAACCTGAAACAAGTCAGAAGAAAATCCTATAAAAAAAAAAGGTTTGACAGATGTGAACATTAAGATACTTTCACTAAAATAGTAGGGTCCTTTGTTATATCTATTTTAATGTTAATTTTGTAATCATAATAATAATATTATTATACAACTCACTTTGATTTGATTTGTTATTAGTTTTTTTTTTTCTTTTATTCTCTATCTTTCTTCTTTTGTCCCGAGGACTTTGGCGGACACGAAGGGAAGAAAAAAGATGAGATGCTGAACAAGTCATTTAGTGGGACGTGCAATTATCATCGATTCTCTTTTTTCTTTTCTTTTCTTCTTCTTATAATAACGAAAGAATCGAAAAAAATAAGTTAAAAAGGTAAAGTACATTTTTGCTTTCTCAAGTGTAGTCCACTATTTCATGAATTATGGTCCACTAACCCATATCATATTTCATAATCATACATATATATATCGTGTTTAAAGGTCTACATATTTACATTTATACTAAAATAATGTTTTGATGTCAAAATGATCCATTAGTATAAACTCAAACAAGAATAATATTTAGTTTTGAGTATAATTAGTTTGATTGTTTCAGTGGAAACATTTCAACGTGATGACCAAATAAAGATATCGAATATTGCAATAACTA